CCCCAAAACCCCAAAACCCCAAAAAGGATTAGTAAAAACAGAATTACGTTATAAATATTCAAGATAAATTAAAATAAAATATAATACTTTATTAATTTATTTATTCAATGGAATTAAAAAGCGATTTAAATTAGTCTTTGATTGATAAGCAGCATATTGAAGAAAAATCACCAAAAGAGTATTAATTTTACATCAATTTCCCAGATATACATAACAAAATTATATAGAGAGAGATCAACGAAAAAATAGCAGATTTTCGGAGCATTAATTTAAATGTCAAGTATCTTAGCTCTTGCTTTTAATCAAGTTTTCGCGAAATTATAATTCAACAGATATCCAGAAATGAGAGAATATCACTATCTACTACTAAGATGCTCAATATAGATTCTAATTCAATTAGTCTGGTTAAATACTCATTTTAAGTATTACGTCTATGATAGTTTAACTAAACATGACTTCCATTAGCTATAAATCAGAGTTGGAATCGGCTTTTTTGCTCTGACATGCTAGATTATCGCTTTAAGAGCATTACCTTTAGTATTAGTGTCACTTGTTATGAATACCATGCCACTTTTTACAGCAGTATTTGGATACTTTATGTTAAGTGAAAGACTTAAGATTTTAGAGAAGGTGTGTTTAGTTTTATCCTTCGTAGGTGTAGCAATTATGATAACAGGAAAAGACAGCTCCTCAATAGAAAATAAGCAAGGATATTCAACTATTGCTATCATAGCCTTATGCCTTAATCCTGTATTATCCTCACTTGTGACAATAACTCTTAGAACTTTGAGAAATATAAGCGTTCACACTCAGGCGTTCTATCATGCTTTTGTTTTAAGTACTGTAATGGGTATAGTTGTTTTAATAACTTAGGATTACATGTCATTTCTCTATCAATTTTCATATTATGACTATTTCCTACTTATTAGTGCAGCATTTTTTGCATTAATTCATTAGCTATTAAAGCAGATGGCAGTCTAATACAATACAGCTTCAAGAGTAACTATCTATAATTATCTCCAATCTTTGGTTTAATTGATATTTGATATCTTAATTTTTGACTATAATTTCTAACTTCAAGAGCTGCTCGGAATATTGCTGGTATTCTTGGTAAATTTATTCTTGATATTTAAGATAATAAGCAAAAAAGAAGAAAAATGATAACTCATTAGTTAAAATAACCACTGATAATATAATTAGTTATTATTACTATGCAAATATTTAATTTTCATTAAACAAAAAAATTAAAAGCATAATCTGTATCTTTATATATGGGGTTTTGGGGTTTTGGGG